GGCTACATATATTAAAAATAAAAATAATATTAAAATATGGGAAATTAAATTAAAATTTCATCTAACAACAACACACCCATTAGGGCCATTACCATCCCTACTCAAAATGTCATTTCAATAATCTTGATATATACAACTGCAATCCACTCTCATGCAACTACGTGGAAGCTCATTTCATCTAACAATTTTACGTGTCAGTGCTCATTCCTCTCTCTTCTACACTTCTTATATATGTAATGCAAACTAAGGTCACTACGTACAAACCCAGAAATGAAAGAACAGGAAACAGTACCAGCGTACATAGGAGTTAGAAAACGAAAATGGGGAAAATGGGTGTCTGAAATTCGCGAGCCGGGTAAAAAAACTCGAATATGGTTAGGAAGCTATGAGTTTGCTGAAATGGCAGCGGCCGCCTACGACGTGGCTGCATTGCACTTGAAAGGCCCCAGTGCACGGCTCAACTTCCCGGAATTGTCAAACAATTTTCCCAAGCCCGTGAGTTCTAATGCAGAGGATGTTCAATTGGCGGCTCAACAGGCTGCGATGCGGTTTAAGAGGCCGAAACAGGAGGCTGCGGGTGGTGGCGTGGTACCTGTAAGGGTGGGGCTGTCGCCGAGTCAGATTCAAGCAATTAACGAATCACCACTTGACTCACCTAAAATGTGGATGGAGTCGGAATGTGCACTACTCGTTGGAGAGCCATATGGAGGCAATCAGCTGGAGGAATGTGATGATGATATTGATTACTATTCCATATGGGATTAATATTATATGTATCATCGTTCATATTTGGAATTTATACAAGAGATCACAATGTCAGTTAGTGATGCTTTCGTCTACTTAAATTTCGTCTTCTATATTTTAATAAATGTACAAATCTATCTCCCAATTTTTGGTGGGGAAGAAATATTGTACGAGAAATATGTTATTGAATATACTTGTATCGTTTGCTGATCATAAAATCTTATCTGCCCTTTTATGTTTCTTCTTGGTCAATCTTGTGTTTTCAATATTTTAATGTTTAAATCTATTGCAGTTATTTATAGTTGACTTGTCAATAAATTAAACAAGTTTAAGTAAATGTTTGACAAAAATTAAATACAATTTGTAGCTTATTATTCAAATCAGCTCAACTAACTTACACCCGACAAGAACTTAATCAATCGACTAAACGTGTTTAATGAGAGCAAACTATAATTAATGTAATTCCTCCTTTTTTATTCTTTAATTAATGTTTGGC